AGCTGTCACAGGGAAGAATAAGGGGTGTTTTTTTCTTGCTTTACTTGCTGTCTGAAAGTGTGGGGAAACTGAATTATACATTTCAGCATGACAGTGAGGAATATAGGGAGATATCCTGATACGATTTCCTGAGTACCTGTAACATTGCCTGTCTCTTTCTAAAATTACCCTACTGGAGACAGGAAATATCAGGTCTATTAGTGAAACGACTCTCTGGCTATTAGTTTTTAGAGCTTTAAATAGTCTTATCTCAATGGATGTGTTTGCCCTGTGGCTCATCTATCACCCTAAAATGTTTTATCAGCACCTGAAAAATCTCAATGAGAAGAATAGCCTCAGATGTTGCCCATTCAAGGGGCTTTCAGATGCAGAACGTATTTCTGTCAAAGAGTTCTTTTCAGATCTGATATTATTTGCTGGCTTTTCAACCCTATTTCATAGCTCCCATTGCACCACTTCTATAAATACTCCTCACCAGCAAAGAAAGGAAATCACAATAGATTAAAAGAACATCAGGTTAACAGGCAGCAATCATTGTCCATTCAGCCTCAGACACTTGTGAAAATAAAGGATTATGAAGAATTATTGCCAGGTACTGGTTGCAAAAAGACCTTTTGTGGCATCTTTGTCATCTTGAACAGTTATTAGAGGTCTAAGAAAAGCTCTTAGTGTCAGAAGCCAACACTATTAGAAATAAGCAGAAGTTACAATGCTGTGAGATGTTGTGGGGTTTGTAAATTTTGAACTATTTGACATATTCACATTATAAATGTCTTGTTTTTTTCTTTAAAAACTATTGGTTCTAGTTTTAAAATGAGTTTGTGTGTGTCTTGAGGAGGTGGAGGCAAGGGGTGGGGCACGGTGGAGTTTTCTTTCTTTGCCTTCTCATTACTGCAGTCCTTGTCTTACCATCTTCACAGGACCCTAGAGCTTTCAGGGTAGGTGAACCTGTGCCAGATTTGGCCTGAGTCCCTATAAGGCATTATTTTTAGTGAATCAAAAGCAAAAAAGGAGAATTGAGCTCAACAAAGTGAGTTTTTTATGTCCAGGGCCTTTTAGAGACCAGCCTCACCACCAGAAAATAACTATTCGTAACAAAAATGGTGATGCAACAGAGTCAATTGTGGTAAATGTCTGAAAACATTCCTTGGTCGTAAATTTTATGGGATATTTGCCACCTTATGTTCTTCACCATTAAAATTACCTTTGAATGGCCCAGTTGTGTTCTTCTGCAGAAGGAAGGGCACTCTGAGTGACAAATCACGGAATGAAAAGGTTGTCTCAGAGAAGGAGAAAAGAAACTTTGAAAAGTGCACTAACAATACTGTAAACAGCTGTTTGCTGGCTCCAATCTGACCTTTCAGGGGGAGGGTCTTTCACCTCTGATGTGTTTCACAATTTTTCTTTGGACAAGAAACTGTTGTTTAAAAAAAACATCATGTTTGTTGAAACTGTGTAGGTTTTATGTACAGGGACCAAGGGGTCACAGGCTTTTGTCAGGGTTACGAACTCTGCAAAGGATGTGTTGCACTTGAAAGCTCAGTGTTCATGGTGCACACTTAGCAAGGCTTCATTTTCAACTGTGATGAAACCCACGTTCAGCAACTTGCAGCGTCGTTAGCACTAAGTGCTTTGGGACTTGCAAACAGCTCAGCAGACAGCCACAGCTATTACAGTCAGCGACGGAGAAGGAGCAAGACCGGGGGAAGAGGACACAGACAGTGTTACAAGGCAACGTTCCCACTGATCCATGGAAGCAGAAAATGAGCTATGCTTGTTGTCATAAATATTATGTGTTAGACCTACCTCTAATTAAACCAGATTGTAAATTATGTGTAAAACCTGATTGTCCTTTTCAGTTCTCTCTGAAAAGTATGTTAATGTGTAGGCATTTCCGTCTCTTGGGTCCCTGCTCCTCTTTTAACCTCACTTCCTTCTGCTAATTCACCACTTCCTTTTGTATGTTCACCATGAAGATGTGTGTGGGGAGAGGCAGCAAAACAAACAGCGAACAGGAGTAGGTTGCCTTGAGAACTCCACACACGAGGACCACTGTCATGGTTTGCGCTTGAATCTAGAGGGTGCTCTGTGCTTATAATCTTAGTTTCTCTTTTGCTGCTATTGAAATATTGGATGTGAACTCTATTTCCCAGCCAGCAAAGGTCCTGTGGAGGGAGAGGTCTTTTCCGTAAGTGGTGGGTTTTTGCCATGGACAAATGATTAACAACTGAATCAATTGTGTCAAAGGTTGAGCAAGCTATATCACACAGGCACATTTTGGGTTCAGGCTGGGCAAAGTCATTTGATGCAAAAAAAATAAGGCAAAAAAGGCAAACAGAAAGCTTTGCCCAGCTTCCCTAACAGTTTCTCCTCCATGTCTAGAGGGCAGTTAATCACTGACTGTGCGCTCAGTAACTCTGGGTTAAAAAACAGGCTGCCTGAAATAGTCTTTTATTTGGAGCAGATTCCTACAAGGATTCAGTTAATGTGCTTCTCTGTGTTAAATCGTTATCATCAAGCTGCCAAACTGGAAAGATGTCGCAGCCAGTTGCTTATTTTGCAGAGACATGGCTCCACAGGCAGAGTAATGTCATTTGTAAGGTAACTATGGCACATTAAGGTGTAGCACTTGGCCAGATAACAGCACTGAGATTGTTGGGTTTGTTGTGTATTAGTGAATATGATTAATTTTATATATGGCATCCATCATTGGCACAGTGAGCAAATTAAAATGTATTTATTCTTTGTATCATTGAAGCACTTGGAAATTCATCCCAGGGTGAGAGACTGTGCTGCTAAAAGCCATAGTTGCACACAGAGTGAGGCTACATCTCTTCAAAGAACATCTGCTTGTCCAGCAAGAGGAAGGGTGGGAAAACACAGATTCAAAACACTTTTCTCACTCTAAGTCACTTATTGTAGGTTAAGACTAGTTAGGGAAATGAAGGGAAAGACTGTTGTGTCTCAGGAATCAAAAAGCTGTACCTGAAGCGAGAAGTGGCAAGATGTAAAGGGTGTCTGAACAGGCAACTGAAGAAAAGCTCTGCAAGGTCCTGAAGATTCTGATCTGCCTTTGAAAGCCCAGCTGAACTGATGGGAACCAGTTACCAGCCTGCGGTAAGTTCTCATCCCAGTTAAGACCATATAAGAGAGAATGACTCAACATAGTAGCTAGAAAACACCAAAGCATTTAATTTAATACCTGACAGACTTCCGTGGGCTCAAGACTGCAGGTATGTGGAGCAGAGAATCCCTATGGAAGTGCCCACCCAGGGCTAGGGCTTTTGTCTTCTGCAGAAGCATGAGCCCCAGCCCTGGTGAGACACAGCAAAGGGCACTCCTGGGGATGAAGGCTTTCCCAAGGCATGAGAATGAATGCTTTTGCCTCATGTCTGGCCTTCCTCTGGAAGACAGACATGAAAAGCAGCAATAAATAAATTATTTTCCACTCTATTCCTAGAAAGCCAACTCGAGTTTACTTATCACTTCCTTCATGCCAAGACTTGAGTATGTTTCATTTGTTGAAATATTCATTTTCCCCCATCCCTTGAAAGAAGAACTACAAATGAAAATGTAAATTGCTTCTAGACAGATCTTTGCTTCCTCTTCACTTGCCTCCAGAAAGTCATGCGCTAACAACCACAGTGTTTACCTTGTGAGTCTGCCAGGTGCTGGGTCATCTGCTGTTTACAGTGTAGAAAACGACCTGGTAATTTATCTTTTTCCACTTGAACCACTTTCAAACCTCCACCAGCAGATGGAATGGGAGCAGTGGTGGTTTCGAATCGCCGGTGGTACCTCGGAGCGATGAGCACAGCACACACCACGTTTGCTCCATACCCTGTCAAACTGTTGGTGTTTTGTGCTGCACTTGGCATTGCAACTGTTCATTGCTTTGGGTGAGTGTTTCTGAAGCCATGTCCATGGAATGATAGGACAAACAATCAAAATCAGCACAGACTCTCTGCTTTCATGTTGTATGGCCCATAATTGCTGTCTTGAGTGATTTATGTGTTTCTAATGAATAGCAAAAGACATTGTTTTGAAGTTAATGTGGTGCAGTGTGTCTGCTTTTAGAAAAGTAATCCTCTTGATAAATTTGAGATGACAAATTGCCATGGTCGCGTTGTGACATGGAATTGTTTGCAACGTGCAGCTTCCTCCCATGCTGACTGCTCGACTGTGCTGGGCAGAGAGGGGGTTGTTTTCTTTGAGTACATAAATGGCTAATAGCTGTTTCTTTCTCAGCTACCTTAATACATTGTCCTCCTTCAGAGAACTACAACCATAATCTTTCCAATCTAACTATTTTTGCACTCCTCTCTGAACTTTGACCTCTGATTTCATGCTTTAGCAAGCTGATGAGGTTTTGTAATTCCTTTATTCCATGTGATTTTTAATATGCTGTAATGGGAGCCCCATGCCAGGCGCTAAAATCATACTTAAAGCTTCAGCTGATGCTGTGCCTTGTCTTAGTGAAAGAATTGGGAACACCGCTGTGGTAGTTTCCTTGTCCAAGTGGGTATGAAAAGAAACTAATTGTCAGCATTTTACTAAAGCTTCCCATTTAGATGAGGTGCTACAAGGAGGCATTTGTCTGGGATGAGGATTTAATCAGAAATACTGAATCCTCCAAATGAGTAGGCAGCATTTTGACTGTGGCATTGTGGAAACCTTGGAGACAGTTGTCACATGAAGGAGTGAGAGTGTTTGGGGGGAAGAGCAGAGGCTCACACTTGGGGTTCAGGTTCACGACTGAGATGAATGGGATTAATGGTGAATGACTATTGTGAACTGAGAATAGAGTCTCAAGTCTTTGGCCAGCTTCAGAAAAAATTGGCTGCTCAGCAAAGGGAGGTGCTTAAGCCTGTTTTTGAGAATGTTGAGTGCACACCAGCCCTTGCATGGGACTGATGTTTGTCACAGAGGTGTCTGACCTTGGAGCTGTTCATTGTGTTTGGCAGCGAGGTACCAAAGTGCTGCCCATACAGCAAGAAGCCATGGGGTAAGGGCAGCAACTGATGGTGCAGATTTTACTGGCTACTGGCCAGGTTATTTGGTAGGGCTTGCACAGCTTGAAGCAAAGCCCAGATTGGTGAGATAGGAGTTTCCCATGCTGACTTGATCAAATGTGTATCCTGCAGTCAGCCCTCTTTGAGTGCTCTGCAGGTTTATTCTTATGGTGGTGGGGTAGGGACCTGGGTCTACTCTTGGGCACTGAAGAGTGGGTCAGGTTTCATACAGAATCAATGCCAGTAGAGAATGAGTACTGAAATCTAGAGGTGGCATGGAAGATTTAATGAGGGTCAACACATGGTAGTTCTGTTATTTGACACATAGTTTTGCACAGGGGTAGGTCAAGTTGATGTGTCCTCATAGCTTGGTGGTTTCATACCCTGAAGCTCTCATGTTGTTGCATATAGTGGTGAAGATTCCTTTAACCTCAGCAGCACCAACGAGAGCGTGGCCAAGAGCAGGCACACCCGGTCCGTCCATGACCTGCCGCAGCCCCGCGACTGTGTGTTCTCTGCCTGGTCCTCATGGAGCAAGTGTGATCCCTGCCAGAAGAAAAGGGTGAGTGTTTGTAATCTAGGCACAAAGCCTGAGAAACCAGAAGGCAGGACCTGCTCCAAGTTTTCTCTTTTTTTGTCTATGGGGTTGGACATATGGAGAGATGCTGAGGAAAGTCCTGTGGGACTGGAAAGGTGAGACTGTGGGCTTTTGCTTCCAGGTGGCTTTTAGCTCTTCAGCTCATCACCTCCCATAATTCCAGTGCTTTCCAGGCTGACTCACTGTCCTGAGTAGGTATAAGCCTAGGCTTGGTGAAAATACAGGCAGGAAGCCCAGGCTTTGCAGAGACTTTCTCTCGAACACAATCCTCTTCTTCCAGCGTCAGTGCGGAGCACCATCCCCGGTAATGGTTCCCTGTGGGACCTGGGGACACTCGGTGCCTCTCAGGATTAAGATGCTTTTTCTTGTCTGCCAGCCAGCATTTTCCACCCAAGAAACCACATCAAACAAAAGTAATGATCCCAATAGCATGAAGAGCAAAATCCCTGTTGCTAGAGAGACCTCTGCTAACGAGTTGGAGAAGCTGTTCCCCGGCTTAAGAGGGAGTAACCAGTGGTGGTAGCTGGGAAGAATGAAGCTTTATATCAAAGAGTTAATCTTAGAAGCTAGGGGGAAAAGGAGGGCTAACATATTGGATGGAGTAATTGACTGCTTCACAGCAGTGTTGTGGGCGGAAAAAATCCCTAATGATACAGAGGGGCAAGTAAATACACTGACAGAAAATAACAAGGGATGGTGTTACCAGCACTAATTGAGAGAGAGGAGATGGAACTGAATCCTTCCTTACTCTAGCAAAGTCCCGTGCTACCCTGTCAGGCTCATTTAGACAAACTGTCAAAGCAAAGCAAACTTCCCTTCATCCCTTCCAATCTTCAGTCCCTCCTTAGTAAAATTAAAACTGTCGCATATGAGAACCCTTTGAAATGAGGCACATTACTAGCATCATGCTTCTTTGCTGACACTTTTTTAATATGACAGTACTCTTAGATGAGATCTACCCAACACAAAGTTTACTAGAGAAGCGTAAAATTCACAATTTCTGTACACTTGAGTCAATATTTTTTATTTCATCACAGTACAGATTTGTCCGCCTGGAACAACCCTCTCAGTTCGGTGGAGATCTCTGTGATTACTCTGACAGAGAAGCTGAAGACTGTGTTACAAATAGTCCTTGCAGAAGTAAAGTTAGATGTGAAGGGTTTGTGTGTGCAATTACAGGTAAGGACTTGAAGAGTGAGAAATGGTGGTGCTCAGGTGACATCTCTGACACCACTACATTCAACTTTCTGCTTTTACAAGAGTTTGCTGGGGCAAAGGGATGTCAGTTGACACAGTTCCATCCATGCTTGTGTTGTGTTTGCATCAGTGATTTTGCGTGAGTCTATTAGCCAACATCTGCCACTCTAAAGCATGTCTTTAAAATCTCCAGATAGGAAATTATAACCCAGTTATGTCAGTAAAATCTGTAACACAAGTGACAGCAACAGGAGAATGTGCACTTGTCATCCTTGACACATGTCCAAGAGCACAGCAGGTATAATGTTTGTCCTCGTGATGTTTCCTCCATTCCCATCAATGACTGTAATTACTCAGGGACACTGTAAGCAATGTGGGAAGCAAGGCAGCAGTTGTCTGTATCTGAAGTTAATCATTCTCTGCTTTGCATCTCCACCCTGGTGGGGAAGAGGGAAGTGTCCATGGTGCCAGGGCAGAGGGGAGCTCAGCACCCAAGATGAGGCAAAGAAAAGTGTGTAGGCTTTCTGTCCTCTAGTGTTTTTGTGAAGCGGAAAAACACTCAGTAATCATGGAAATGGGAAGAGGGAAAAAAATCATGCCATATACGTGGTCTGCTGAACAGTGTCCAGCGTGTTTGTTCTCTCAAAACTAAAACATTTTAGCAAAGAAAATTCTATTCTTTTTTATACTTTTAGTTAGCATGGGGTGTTTTTTTCCAGGTTGAGGTAGAAATTTTAAGATTATGAAAGTTTTGAGTGAAACTGAGCAGATGGAATTTGGTGACCCATGCAGAGAGAGAAGAAATATTTTTTTTAGCTAGATTTGAACCATGCATTACATGAATCTTTTGTTTCTGGACTGAGTCAGGGAGTGAGCTTACAGATTGTTCTATAAGTGACTTACATCTTGCATCACAGGGAGGTGCATTACACGACGGCTGCTCTGCAATGGGGATGATGACTGTGGGGACTACTCAGATGAAAAAAACTGCAAAAAGGTGTTTAGAAAATGTGACCAGAAGACAGAACCATACTGGGGAATAGAGAATCTGGCAAAAGGGTGAGTCAGTGACTTTCATGAGATGCTTTCTTACTCAAGGCTGAAAATGATCTTATGTGACTTCAGACATAAACACTGAACAGAGAAAAGATGTAGCAATTGCTGTATCAAGGAGTGAGTTAGGATCCAACAGGCTTTGGGAATATTAGGAAGAAATTCTTTACTATGAGGGTGCTGATGCACAGGTTGGCTAGAGAATCTGTGGCTGCCCCATCCCTGAAGGTGTTCAAGGCCAGGTTGGCCTGGGCCTGGGCCTGGGCTGGTCGGAGGTGTCTCTGCTCAGGGAGGTTGGAACAAGATCATATTTAAGGACTTTTTCAACTCAAAGAATTCCATGGTTCTATGAAATCAGTATCTTGGGTTGCCTAGAATCTGAACCTTACTATGGGTTTGTATTTTTACACAGTGTATTGGTTTTGGAGGCTTCAAACTTCCTTGTATTTCTTCCACAACAGTGAAAGGTGGTGGAATTCATGTGTTTTGTGTGACTGGGGTAGGGTCAACCTGCATGTTAGCAAATTCTGACTTTGTGGAGTTTAAAATCCAAGTCTGAATAGATCCAGCTTTCACAGGCTAAGACTGTGACATCTTTCTGTAAGATCAAACTGTATGAAAAAAAGTATTTTCTCATTCTGCAGGGGGAAAAAATGCTTTTTACATTAAAAAGAAAGGAATGGAAATAATCATATTGGAAGGAAAAAAATTATAATTTCCTCATTCTCTGGAGATATGACTGCTGCACATGTCACTGCTAATGCTTTGTACTTCTGAGTTTAATCAAAATTAAAAATAATGTTGGACAATTATAGGAACATGCTTCTCATCTCTTTGAAGCTACAATTGCACAGTAATTTGCTTTTAGTGGACTTCCTTCTTTTCAGATTGTTCTAAAATTAGAGTTCATTTTTTACATTATCATGCAAGCTTCTCTCTCCAAAATAAGGAGAGGCAGACCCAAGAGAGTCCTGGACACTAATAGGGACACACTTCAAGTATTAGCAATTTACCCCTTTTTTTTGGTTAAGTTTTATCTAATTACACTTCTTACCATTTGAATTTGGGGAGGTGAGTGCCATGTTCTCAGCTGTGTGCCACGAGGGTGGTGTGAGGGTGTCCTGACAGTGAGCAACAAAGGGTTTTTACTACTACACATCCCACCAGCAGCAAGAGGAAGAACAAATCTGGGGGTTTAATCTCCTCTTCTACAAAGGTTGCAGTGCTACATCCTTTCTGAGATCAGACAGGTTAAGATTTCTGTCCATCATCCACTTAAATCAAAGGAAAACTCCCTGTGATTTCAAGGATTAGTTGAGCAGTTGCTTGAGTACCTTTATTGTTCCCTGACAATTTTTACTGTCATCTACTGACCTCTGGTTGGTCCTTGACCAACCTGCTCAAGATTTTGACTGATGAACCAGAACAAAGAAATGTGCATTTAAAATTAGTCCAGATTGATGACATGGATTGGCAAACCTGTCTTTAAAGATCCTGCCGGATGCTGTGAGCATTTGGGGATGCTCAGGGTGGGCAGCTTGGTGAGACAGGGGGTTGGCTGGTCTAGTTTGTTGTGCTCTTCCCAGAGAGTTCCAGTAAAGGCTACAAAGCTGCTGATTCCAGTGGCAGTAATGGTCTGGTGTCATTCATAGCTGGGTGGTGAAAATTGCTCTTCATATTCATCAAGTGTCAAAATTTAACTCTGTCTTTGGCTTTTTCATTAGTTAGGTTCTTCTGCAGCAACTAGGTTAGTAAGACAGTGAAAGAGGCAAAACTTTCTTTTGGGATTTCAAAATAAAGAAGTATGAGGCAAAGAGCCCTCAGCCAAACAAAACAATCTTTCACCTTTCTCAGCCAAGGCATTTGGTATTTATCTCTGAATTTGTGATAATTGTAATGTATTGCTGTTATGCTTCATGTGCAGGTTAAATATCTTCACAAACAACTTGGAAGGATTAGTTCTTGATCACAGGTACTATGCTGGGGGATGTTCTCCCCATTACATCATGGACACAAGATTCAGAAAGCCATACAATGTAGAGAGCTACATACCAGAGGTACGTGTCAGATTTGTCTGCAAATATACATGCATAGATTACAATAGATTTAATGCACAAAACTGATAAAGTTTCTTTACTAAATCATTTTATAAAAAATTGCAAAATTCTTGATACTCAATAGTAACAGACTGAATTTAGTCCTATTCTAAAATATCATTGAGTGGAGACCTCATAGCAACTTTTCAATAGCTGAAGGCCTACAAGGAGCTGGAGAGGGACTCTGTGTTAGGAACTGCAATGATAGGACAAGGGATAATGGGTTCAAACTGAAGGAGGGGAAGTTTATGTTAGATAGTAGAAAAAGGTTCATTACTCTAAGGGTGGTGAGACACTGGCACAGGTTGCCCAGGGATGTGGTGGCTGCCCTGACCCTGGTGGTGTTCAAGGCAAGGCCGGATAAAGTCTTGAGCAACCTGGCCTAGTGAGGAGGTGTCCCTGCCCAGGGCAGGGAGGGTTGGAACTAGATGATCTGTAAGGTCCATTCCAACCCTTAAATTTGATGATTCTGTGATTCTATGATCATCATTCCCCAAACACTCTATGATGTTGGACACACCCCGTTATAATATCTATGTGCAGAGGAATAGGTGATGATGTTCCCTTGCCATTGCAAAAACTGAGCCTTACCTTCCCAGTGCCATTTGTCTGAGAGGCCCCAAAAGGCACCCAGTGGGCATGGGGAGGTTAATTTTAGGCAGAATTGTGGAGTGTCTTGAGAGCCAGGATGGGAAATCTGCCCTTGTGCAACAGCTGTGGGCTGAGCAGCACAACATGTGCTTTGTGTGAAAGCTTCTTTCTGTGGTGCATCAAAGCTCTATTGCAAATAGTATGTATTTGACCTTAATGCTTTTGATGACATAGCATGATATTTTTTAGTGTTGCCCACTAGGAAACCTTTTCCTTTTAGAATTCGTACTTTAATTGATGCCTGTATTTAAGACTTCACCTTCTTTGCATAAGATTGACACATTAAGTGAAAGCCTGAGGACCTTGCAGTATGGAGGAGATAGTAGCTTTCCTGCTGCTGTAAATCAAGTATTCTTGAAGTACCTGTGTTAATAATAATAGTGCTTTGCAATTATACAAGGCTTTTCATCTTCAAAGTGCAAGCATTAATTCACAAGTATATTTGTAGCTCCTTTCCTTCCCCATGCTTCAGGTATACAATCGCTATGCAGGAAATGAGACGTGTTGTTTTTCCTTTCTGTTTAGACCAAAGGCAAATATGAATTTACAATGACTGAATATGACTCTTACTCAGATTATGAAAGCAGTGTCCTGAAGGCAAAATCTACGGAGTACAGCTTCAGCTTTGGTATAAAAATACCAGGACTGTTTGAATTGGGTTTCAGTATAAACGACTACAGGTTCAGTAAGTTCATTCGGAGGACGAAAAGATTTTCTTCAACTGTAAGCACTGCTCCACTTAATTCTCTGATAACATGTTATCCACGAGGGTGTGTGTGTGTGTGTGTGTGGTGTGATGCTCATCATCAGGTCATCAGCCATGACTGGGACAAATGAAATCTTTCCCCAGTGGAGTTTGCTGTTTGATCAAGTTGTTACTACAGCCACAATGCCTTAACTTGTGATTACAGCATCCAAAAGCTTTTCCATTCACCTATTAGACAGGAACTGGACTGCCTAACCTCTGAAATCAGCCACAACTGATTGAGAAGACAAAGATCCTTATGGGTGCCTTCCAATTCAGGATATTCTGTGATTTTAACTGTGTGTGGTGTGCCCGGTGTCCTGCTGGACATCCACATTTGGATGGTAGTAATGAAGTCATTTTATAAAATGAAACAGAAGAGCCTGTTCAAATGGCCTCCCCTCCATGCACTCAACTTGCTCATTGGAGATGTACAGATGACAGTCCCACAGGGTCTGTCTGCATGGCCATGGGAGCAGGGCCCTGACAAGGTTTACTTCTGATGCCAAAGCAGTGTGGGAGGTGGGAGGGGAGTGGGTGCAGCTAATACCGTGGCTCCTCCAAGGGAATCTGCACAGGTAGATTTGGGGTGTAGCTAATGAACCCAGGAGCCAAGAGTTCCCTCTGCACTACAGGTGAGTGACAGTGACTAAGTGAGATATCTGGGATGGCAGGAGGACAGATAGGATTTTTGCCCTTACAGGAATTCCTGCACCTGTACACCCAGTCCAGACACTGGTCAGTGGCACGGACAGCTGTCGTCTGGAGATCCCTGCAGAGTATCACCTCACATATGAAGGGTCATCTCTTTTTTAGGTGGCTTCAGCAAGGCAGGAGCTGTCATGTCAGTAAATGGTAATGCAAGCAGCAAGGCCAAGCTGTTCCACTGTAGGGCAGCCTTGACAATAACGTAGAATGAAAACTGCTAGCAGCCCATCCGTGGGTTTAATTATAGACTAACACATGCCATTTTGCTTCTGCTGATGTGATCTATCTGCCACGTGCACCATTCCCCAGACCAGGACACACATGCCACAAAATACAGATGGCACCATCACTTCCAGTCTCATCTGCGGAGGTTTGGTCACAGCTGTGAGCTGAGGCTTGCTTTAAGCTGGCTGGAGGTGCTTGAATCTGTAACTCCTAGGACTGCTTTATGAGATTGAGTCTGAGGTGGTGTGTGTCATTTGTTTTCTTTGTTTCATCTGTCATTGCTGTAAACAAACATAGCTCTCATCAGCTGTCTAATAGTATCACTGATCTATGTCTCCCTTCAGTATAAAGTACACTCAGGAATGGCAAAGTATTCCTTGTTGCTATTAAACTTGTATTTGCTTTCTGCAAAGAGGCATTTCCCATGACAAGATCAGACGTATATGAGAAGCATTTGCAATAGATATTCATAAAGAAACCCAATACTAAGTCTTGGTTTTATTATTTAAGCTGCTGTTCTATATTGAACCCTCCCTGATGTGCTTGTCCTGCTGGCCCAAACAAGTGGACAGTAAATCCTTTGAACATGATGAAAGACCTCTTCTGTTCCTGACTTTTATGCCAGAAAGGGGAGAGATAATATTTATTCATGTACACATCTACACAGAGACATATAAATATGCATGTGTGTGTTTGTTTGTGTGTATAAGACTGTGTTTTCTTCTTTCCTTTGAGTTTTGGTAACAGAATATTCTGTGGAATATAAATATGAATTTGAGTCAGCCAGAGAATTACTATTTCACATATAAATCATCAGGATTCCAGATGCTGGAGTTTTTCAGATGAGAGCTTATGAGAGACAAAGGCTGGTCAATGTTATTAGGAGTAGAGCAGTCTCATGGGGTGCTGCAGTGTCCTTGCATCCTGTGTATGCCAGAGCAGAGCCTGGGCCCTGCCTTTCCCCAAGTCCCAGTCATGGACTGAGCCATCACCTAACCTGTAACAGGTGTCTGTCCCTCATCTTTCTTCCCTCTCTAATACCAGTCAGAATCCTGATTTTCAGACATTTTACTGCTAAAAAGTTTGCTCTTGCCAAATTAAAAGATTTCCAGTTGCAAACTGTAAAATGAATAAATCCTGACCAGTGCTAATTTTTTAATAGCAATTAACTCCACGTTGTCACTGGAATGGCATCCCTTCTTCTGGATTCTCTTGTGTTTCTGTATTTCCTGTAGTCCAGCAAATTCGTTCACGCCCGTTCTGAGCTGGTGGTTGCTATTTACAAGCTGAAGTCCCGAGCCCTGATGCTGCATTACGAGTTCCTGCAGAGGCTCCACCAGCTCCCATTAGAGTACAGCTATGGGGAGTACAGAGAGCTCTACAGGGACTATGGGACCCACTACATCACAGAGGCTACCCTTGGTGGCACCTACGAATATACTTTGGTCATGAACAGCGATGAGCTCCGGAAGGCAGGTATGTGCATGGGATAAAGCTTTGGGCCAGCGTTTTGGTGAGAAAACCTCGCTGAAGGTGCACAGTGATGGCTCAGATCTGAGGTCAGAAAAGAGAGAAGGTGGAAGAAGGAGCCAACAACATGTCAAAGAAAGCCTGCAGGAAATTCACTGCTCTATGGCAGTGAATAAAGAGCTTGATTTTCAAAGCATGCTCTGCATCATGGGCTTCATCTTGTGCTCAGGCAGTGGGTGCTGCCAGTTCACAAAGAAGGGCCCTATAGCAAGTATTGTAGAGAACATGTCTTGGAGGCTGACAAGATGTTGAGATGAATGAGAATCATGGAGCTTAACACTTCTGTTAGCTTTGAAAACCTTCACCTAAATTCTTTTTCTATTGCCTTTCAAATTGCAGTTTTGAAACACCTTTAGCCTCGAGAGCTTTTCCAGCATGTAGGCAACAGTAAATAATTTTTTGGGTGACTCTTGTGCCTGACATTGCTCTTGCTCTTTGACTCTGGCTTTCTTTGTTGCAAGAAATGATGATTGTTGTGTAGGACAGAGCAAGCAGTGTGACATTAATCAATAGCTGCACTCTCAATTACTTATTCATTGGCATAGGAGTGAGGAACTGCCTCCACTCACTGTTTGCAAAAGCAGTTAGTGCACTCTGCTGTGTGTGATGCTCAGTCTGTTTGCTCTTTTGTTGTCTAGGAAGTTACTTAGCCTGTAGTCAGATACAGCCCAGAGGGATAGAATTTAGATTCAGATTTCAGATATGCAAATATTAATGCTGTTTCCCAGTTTCTGTTAGTGTGGACCCATCACAAGCCACATTTGTTTGAACTAATCTGTATTACTGTTTGCATCAAAATGCTCCACCCATCAGCATCTGCTGACCTAGATCAGGATCCTGCAGCAGTACCAGCATTTTCACACTGTCCCCAGTGTTGAGCTGGTCTGTAAGTTCTTACCAGGGTTTGGAAGGTCCAGTCTGAGAATTCAGGTTTTTCCCTTCAGATGTTACTGGGGGCAGCAAATGACACTGCATGTGTCTGTGGTTCATGATTTGATACTTTCTGTGGGCAGGAGGGCAGGAAAGGAGTCTGGATTGTGCTTACAAGGATCTCATAACATAGTAGTTCCTGCCTTCAGGACTGTGAACATCAATAGGGGCCATTCTGTGTCAACCCAAATCATGGTGCATCGTCTTTTCTGAAGAGACTGGCCAATATCCAATGTGTTCATTTTATTTCATATAGATCTGTTAAATATCCCCCAAAAAAGTGTTTTTCAGCTCAGCTCTATTTTTTCACCAGGGAAAATTATTTATCAACTCCCATTTTCTGTGTATATGGACACATAACATCAAACAGTTGTATTTATAACACTACAATGTTTCTGTGTGTCTTTAAGGTTATTCTCTGGATGATGTCAAGAACTGTGCAAAGGGTGGCTTCAACATTGGTGGAAATATTAAGGGAGTCTATGTGAAGATAGGAGGAAATGTAGGTGTCTGTAGAGCCATTTTAGAAGAGGCTGGAGGTAAGCATGAAACATTTCTACCATTTAATTTCTAGCTTTTGTCACAGTGAAAAGAAGACTTTGTGATCTTGCCTCCTGAAATATTTCCCCACTCCCTCACAACTGCTTTTGAGTCTGCAGGCTAACCCCAGCCAGGCTTAACACAGGGGGAAGTGTCTCAGATCTTGGGGTTTTTTCCAAGCTTTTCTTTGCTGTGTAGAGAATAAATATCTGCTCAGCATCCCAAGAAAAAGCAGGGTCAGAGTAACCATTACCCATCTGGCTGGCGCTGTGTTACCCCCACCTCTCATCTGAACAGCCCAGCCTGCCCCTTTTTGCACCTCAAAAAAAGTCCAGCTGTGGAAAACAGGGAGGTAATGGCATTGTGGGAGCCTCAGGGGATGCGGTGAGCTGGGAGTTTGCAGTGGGAGGAGGGTGAACCTCAACATATGTGGAGGAGAACAAGCAATATTCCTGGTGGTGAGGAGTATTGGGCTGTGGAAGGACCTGTAAGCTCCTAGCCATAGGGAAGAAATTTAGTGGGAGAGATACAGGGTGCAAGAGAGGAGGATGGGAAGTTTCTGCAAGGGAGCAGGAGGGGTACAGGACACATTTTGTAGGAAACAAAGTGTTAAACACTTGTGGCCTTTTTCCTTTGCTCTCTGAGTGGGATGGGTCCTGTACAGGGGTGGTTTGCTGTTAGCTTATATCTCAACTGCGATCCACAAGAACATTCTTGGGCAGAGTTGGACATTTTCTAAATGCATTTTTGCAGACAACACCACCAAAAAACAGTATGTGGAAGATTTTGTCATCCTTGTTCGCGGCGGAGCAAGCGAATACATTACCACGTTGGCTTACAAACAGCTGCCAACGGTGGCACTCATGCAGGAGTGGGGAGATGCTGTCCAGTACAACCCTGAAATCACAAATCTAAAGGTACCGTGTCCATCACTTCATTCAGCCTCACTTAGCTCAATGCCTTGGAGAACTCTATGTTTAAATAAACAAGATCTAAAGGGGGAAAAAGAAGGGGAATAATAGACCTTATCGTGCAGCAGTTTCTCTAAGATTAGGCATTCAGAAAATCAAAGATGTGATGCTTTCATAAGAGAGTGGTTGGAAGTACACAAAGTAATTAGCTTTAGCCCTTCTAACTTGGCTGTGCAGATGTGATCACTTACTCCTGCCTAACAGATTAGACAATCCACCTTCTGTTTTACCAGTCTGTAACTTACCAAATATATATATGGCCACATATATTTTAGAAGGACTTCTATTTTTCTTATTTATTTTCTTCTGTGAGCACCAGTTACTTTTTAGCAACAATTCTCTCTTCTTCAGAAGGTCAAGTATTTCATCTTATATGCCTGGATGTTTGTCCAGCTTAGCTAAACCTTAAAGAGAGGAGTTAGGTTTTGAAAAGGTAAGGATTTTTGATCCTGAAGAGTTTTAGAAATGTAAAAAGCAAACAGAAGTATGTTGCTATTCTGCTTCATCATTTTTAATGTCAAAATAAGTGAATAGTACAAAGGTGCAAGGGAACATCCTTTTATAGAGGAGTTTGGTCTGGTAGTGATGGAAGTTGATTTTATTATTGTATAGTTGTTATTCATTGTAAAATTTAATTTTAGGCAAAAATATATTTGTAAAAGGTGCATGTCTCTCAAGAAAGAGGTGAATTCTAGAAGTATGAAGCAAGCAAAAATCAGTAATGTCTGGAAATACAGACAGTGCCCATCCAGCACTTGACGCAGAGGAGGTGACTTTCCCAAGCCCCTGGTGTGCTGTCGATGGACCTTCCAGAAATGCACTGGGAGGTCTCAGGGCAGGAACAAGAGAAATGCAACCCTCTGCACTAGATACCACATACAGAAATATCTCCCACAAGAAACTGCAAGGTTCTTTGTCTTGCCTGGCATCAGTGACCAGGCTGCCCAGTGAAAAACCTCAGGCGAATGTAATTTGGATTTGGTATCTTCATTTCCATACCAATATCCCTGTGGGGCTTGAAGATCAAAAGTACCAGTGGAGTGTGACTAAATGTCAGCCCAAGAATGCTTAGTTAGGGAAAACTAAAGCAAATCAGTTCATAAATCATCTGCTGAAGGGACTTGGCAGGTCACTCTTAGTGTATTTCCTCATTTGTATGATCTGAATTCAAAAAGCAAAGTATGGATCACAGATAATTGATGAAGAGTGGATGTACAGCAGCAGGAAATGAGCATTGTTTTATTGGACATTCTTTAGCTCTTGTAGTTTGAGCCTGCCATAGCAGGAGGGTGATCTTTCATGCTCACTGTGTTGTTGTGGCCTATATGGCAGCATCTCTGTGTGAGGGTGGGAATTTGGGATGAATCCTCTGATGACACGTGGCAATGCCATCCCACTGGCAATAGTGGGTGATTAGCAATATCAAGACCCCACTTTAACTTCCCCTTGTTCTCAGGAGAAAAATAGTGAGTCAAAATCTCCTTGGTCCCTACTGCATGTTCACCATGTTCTGCCCCCTTGTCTTCTCCCACTGACCCCATCTGCAGATGGAGATCAAATTTTCTTCCTTCTGACAGCAGTGGAAGCCCTTATCTTGTCCCCACAGAGATAGAAATTAGCCTTGCAATGCAGAAGTAGTGAAGGTGAAAGTGCTGATGTGACTAGTGCCTCTGGCTGTGCTGTGGAGCTGTAGGGGGAATGGAGAAGATTTTTGTGGATGGGTTTTTGAGTAAAATTTTTAAATCAGACTAAGAGATCACTCAGAACATCTACATTTGAGCAAATCTGATCTAAAAATGTCTTTATCAGGAAAAGGAATGAGAAGGGATTTAATGAAACTCCTGTGAAACTTTGCCTGTTTGTCAACTAACAGTTTGACTGCTGTATTTTGTTACACATTTCCAACTGTTTTGGTGTTAGAAACCAAGGGGAGCATCCCTGTGAGTGTTCCTGACATCACAGCCTTGCTGTTCACAAGCTTTATGTAAATAGTAATGGGAAACCTGGAGCCTGTACCACATGGCCTTTGTTTCCCTCTCCAGCTGTGCCACCACTGAGCCCTATGATGTTCACAGCATCTTGAACTTGGAAATTAATGCAGTTTCTTCCCTCCCTTCAGACAGAGCCACTGTATCAGCTGGTGACTTCAACTGACTTCGCTAATGCAATCACAATAAAAAAGAATATGCAACGGGCTCTGGAGGAGTTTCAGCTGGAGACCAGTTCCTGTCGCTGTGCTCCATGCCGAAACAATGGCATCCCCTTTCTGCGAGGTACAAGGATTGGAACCTCTTTTCTCTTCTCTTAATAGAAATTAGTTGGGAATGTGTGGGGATCAAGAAAGCTTGATGAATAATCTGCTCTTTAGTTTCTCATGTTATTTCTTTATCAGGTAATTAATTTATTTTTCAAGTTGGTCTACTTGTAGAGTCCTGGTAAGTAAAGACAGTAAAGTCAAGGCATGTGTCTTTTTAATGGGAAGTGACCATCTGTATCTGCTTTATGGAAGAATTTATTCCTTCTCAATTATGCATTTTTAAAAAACCCTTGACATCTTTGAATCTCCTCTTTTGCTTTTAAGATTGCTTCCATCCTCCTGGAGAAGTGACTACTGTCTCAGCATTAATTAGTGTTTGTAAAAGTGTTTTGAAGATGAAAAGCACCGTATAAGTGCCAAGCACAGTCACCACCACTACCTCCTCCCCCCGTTTCTGATAGAAGCTGTACTCCTTTGTAAGCAGGCTGTGATTTAAAAATGAAGGGGTAAAATAATCAAACTGAGTGAAAACCACTCTGCCTAAACAAAGATATATGATGCGATGAGAGCTTCTAACAAAGGGACCATTTTGTCAAGTACCTAATTCCAATCTGCATCTGCAAAAGTCCTGATGAGAATTGCTATCATCAAATTGTATCTAAGGCAGAAACGATCACTTCAGGTACCACCTAGTTGATTGTAGCACTTCAAGGATTTGTCTTATGATGACCCTTGTTTAAATAACATTTTAGGAGCTATTGCAGGTTAGTGTTTCATTTAGGATCTTCTCAACAAGAGGTTTTAAATGACCATTTATTTTCCCAAGTGGGAGCTTTCCTCCAAGGTTCCGCCATAGGATTCACAGCGCAGTCCTGGGCAGCCAGAGCAGGGCTATGTGAGTTTTCCCTCTGCCACAAAGACAAGCTGGGATGCTCCTGTCCCAGGTGCTCATTCCTGATGCTGCAGTTTGCTCACCAAGAGCTGTCTCTAGACACCCTGTGTGCAGTGCTACGTTCAGGTCAGGGATCCCCAGCATCAGAAGGACGTGGAGCTGCTGGAAGGAGTCCAGAGGAGGCCATGAAGATGCTCTGAAAGCTGGAGCATCTCTGCTATAGAGGCAGGCTGAGAGAGCTGGGGATGTTCAGCCTGGAGAAGAGAAGGCTTCAGGGACACCTTAAGGGGCTCCAAGAAAGCTGGAGGGGGACTTTGGACAAGGGCATGTAGTGACAGGACAAGGGGGACTGGCTTTAAATTGAAAGAGAGCAGGGTTAGATTTGACATTCGAAAGAAATTCTTGACTTTCAGAGTGGTGAGGCACCGGCACAGGTTGCCCAGAGAAACTGTGGCTGCCCCATCCTTGGAAATATTAAAGACCAGACTGGATGGATCTCTGAGCAACCTGGTCTAGTAGAAGGTGTCCCTGCCCATGGCAGGGGGGTTGGAGCAAAATGATGTTAAAGTTGCCTTCCAATCCAACCCATTCTAGGATGCTGTGATCTCTTTTGGAGAGGAGCAGGGGGACTCTGTGGTCCCCTGGCTTGCAGAGTTACTGCATCAGTGTGTTGGAGGTTGAGCTGCAGTGCAGTGGCAGGAACAAATGGCTGGGGAGGTGACAGGGGCAGCAGGGTAGTCACAGATCCCCTCTTTATTGCTGTTTTATCCTTTCACCATTGGAGAAAAATGATGACATTTCACCCGCTGTTCCTTCCTCGCAGAAGATGAAGTGCTGAAAAGAAATGGGTGTCTGCGGGGAAATGTGACTTGAAGTCTCTAATTCCCACCATCTCTGCTCTCTTTCAGGAAACAAGTGTGAATGCTTATGTCCCCTTGGCTACAGTGGTACTGCCTGTGAGATCAGCGAGAGGAAAGGTGAGAGGGACCCCAGGTCTGAGAAGTCAGTCCCAGCTGTCTGAGGATGTCTGTCAGTCCCAGATGTCTGAGAAATGTCTGAGGATGGCAGCTGAGGGATGGGGAGTGATGCCCTGTGCTGGCTGTCCCCAGTCTGCCCGACCCAGTGCACCAGGGGTTAGTTAAGGTCCTGCAAAGGGGACAGATATACTTTCCCTGCCCTCTTCTGAATTTCTTTGCACCCACAAGGAGTTGGGTTTATTTTTGCAGTTCAAAGTTGCACAAAGGTTCCTTGCAATTGTATCAAAATATGAGCTCCTGCCTAATTTACAATCCATTGCAAGCCTCAGGTCTCCAGCATCTCTGTTTCCTAAGTTTTTCCCTTTGATAAAGCCAACATGTTGCAAACTGTTCTCCCCCTGATATGCCACCATGCATTTTAATCTTAAAATCTTATTATGTTGTTTTGAAGCATTTACTATTGCTTCTTGGTCACTTTATATCGCTGCTGTCTCTTGACTGATGTTCTTAACTCCTTCTAGTTTAGGATGATCTGTGAATTTAATCATTTTGTTTACTTCTTCCAGCTCATTAATTTGGATGCTAAATAATACCAGATCTCGGGCACCCAGAGCTCTGGCATCATCCCACAATTTGATGCACAGTGTTTATCACTGCACTTTGTTTACCATCTGATTCAGTACTCATTTTGCCATGTCCTAACTAAGACAGGCTCAAATGCCTTTTAAGCCAAGATTTCACCAACCGATTTTGTAGGTATTTCTAACGAAGTCCATGGAACCTTAAACTGTGGAGTCACTTATACCTTCTTTCAGTCTGCTTACCATACATGTAGCCATATCCAACCCTCCCAAAGACACATCCATCCACTTGTCAACATGGAAGTTCCTTTCTCACTCCCCTTTCCTCTTACGTGTTGCCTCCATGATTCTCAGGATTATGAATTTATGTCACTCACATGCTCAGGGTCCAGAATAATCAGTGTAATAGGAAAAGCAATGGAGGAAAAGCTGAATAGTCAAGCTGTTGTTCATTGAAGTGCTAACATTTTCCCTAGCACCTCAAAATGTGGGTGATAGGAGTTTAGTTGCTGTGTTTCTTACCTAGGTTTCGACTAAGTCAGAGACAGAAATGTTCTACAAGCAAATATAAAGCTAATTATAGAATTGACTCTTTTTTCCTTTCGTGCCTTCCTAAATTGTAGTTTGAACAAACACCAGAAATGCCAAACAGAGGATTAACATCTTTAAAACAATCATTCATTGTTAATGACTCCAGTATATTGCTAGTGATGTGGACAGAGGCAAAGCTGTTTGTATCCAAATATGATTCATGGAAGCTGACAGCTCTTCCCATGGAAAGAGCTGCTTTATTCTGACAGTCCTTTCTGGCTTTGTGTTTTTTTCCAGATCCTGCTATTAATGGAAACTGGGAGTGCTGGGCCAGCTGGTCTCCATGTTCAGGAGGTCAACGAACAAGAAGGCGACAGTGCAACAACCCTGCCCCACAAAATGGTGGCTCATCATGCTCAGGGCCAGACTCTGAGACAGCTACTTGCTAGAGGGAATCATTAGGAACTTACACGAAACTGATGGGCAGTTTGCAAACCGCTTGGGAAGATGCCACCTGTCTGACTTTCTGAGTTGGCCTCACTCTGCTCATGGGTCTCATCCAAGAATGCTGAAGTCAGAAACATTGCAGAAGACACTGGGAGCTGGGAGTGTGTTCTGAATCACACCTTTGGACATGCCTTGCAGTTGTCCCATGGGATTGAATGTGCTTACTGACCTTAGTATTTTGCCTTTTCCCTGTCTTTATTGCAATGGGCTAACAGAGACAAGCTTTATCTCCTGCTGTATTTGGTAGCTGCGTGATTTAAAATTGTACTGTCTTGTTTTTGAAGGTTTCTTTGAGATAAGAAAAGACTCTTTGATCTTACGTGCAGCAGAATGTGTGCTAATACGCACTTCTGTGAAGACAGCTGTGTCATGTGGAGCAAAATACAGCATATTAAAGTTTAAATCTCAATGAGCACAACAGTATCTAATGTGACATTTAAAGCTGCTGTCCCTCACTACCCCAAGTGTCCCAATTTATTGTATTTAACTTAAATTGTCTGTCGTATTAGAAATTGTCTTGAATAGAAACCAAATGGTGACACCAAAGCATTGTGGGACTATAGAGCAGTTGTTCTCCCACCACAGCGATGAGCTTCTTCCTGTGTCTTTCTCAGGTAGAATAGATACCCTGAGATTATCAGGTGCACCCCTGTATGCTCATGTAAATTAGTGCTCTGGTTCCTTGGGAAAGGGAGGGAAGGATGGAGGGATAGTACTGAGATGGGGAACTAGAAAGCAGCTGCTGCTTCTTCTGTTGCTTGGGGATATTGGAGGGCAGGAGAGGTGGCTACACTTGCAGGATAGGCTGCGCCCTGGCTAGGCACTGTCACTCCAGGATGCCAGACCTTTCACTGGAGCAGGATGAGATTTTCTGTCATGGGCAGAATCATAGAGTCACAGAATGGTTTGGGTTGGAAGGAACCTTAAAGTTCATCTCGTTCCAACTCCCTGCCATGGGCAGGACAACTTCCACTAAGCTAGGTTGCTCCAAGCCCCATCCAGCCTGGCCTTGAACACTTCCAGAGATGGGGCAGCCACAACTTCTCTGGGATAAATAGCACAATTTTTGGAACACCTGTTTGTGCATCTCCTGAGGACTTCTCCCCCCTTAGTAGTTGCCTCTGTGCCAAACAGGCTCTGGTTCATCAGTCTGATCCTGTGAAACCTGTATTTCAGCAGCTGCATTGCTAGTCCACTTAGGATAGGGCATCTGACTTGGAGAGAGTTTGCTATGGAAAGAGGCAAAGTGAATGGTTTGCCCTTTATTACTGTCCCTGGAGCCATGCATCATAATCCAGGTCTAACAACAGAGGAATTTAGAATACTCTCCACCATTTCATGACTGACCTGAGCCTAGGTCATTCCAGGGACTTACTTCATACTGCTTTGTTAGTGGTTTATGATTTTTCCAAAGACATTTGGTTGAGCCTGCTGTAAAATAGCCAGCAATAGCTTTGCTCCATAAAACAATTCTACCAGTGCAAAGTTGTTCATAAGTGTTGTGAGTCTTGTAACATCTGCAAGGTCAAACACTCTTCTGAGGGTTTTTAGCAATGCTGGTGATGATGGGTTGGTATCACCAGTTTCTCTCCTTTCAGACTGACGTTGTCTAAATGTAATTCCTGTAAGAATTGCTCAGGCTCTCTGACATCTGAACAATGCAACATGCATTTAGTTGTAGCCCTCATGCCGCCTCCACACTAATCGACAAGGTTTCTGTGACAGCTTTAAGAAAGGGAGAGCACATTGCATATGTAAAAGAAGAATGCCCTGTACTCATTATGGGCTTCATAATTTAGCTGACAACCCAAAACATTTCCCTTTTCCACTGTGTGGCTGCAATATCTTTTGTGTGATAGGAATTTGCCAAGAGATTCATTCTGGGTCATGGTCAAAGAGGTCACTGCTTGTGTGAAGTATCATATTCCTTGAAGTTTTTTGAAGGGACACTGTAGAAGCTCTGCAGCTGAGGACCCTGAGGATGTGTCATTGCCTGCCCTACTGGAGAAGCATTGATACACTCTAATTAAGGAACTTTCTCAGCTGAGTTGAGTGGTTTCTCTAAATTTGACCAATTTTCCTGAGCATCATGCTGGATTAACACTGACAAGTAGCCATGGTGCAACTATGCACTGCTGTGGCAAGCAGAGCCAAGTGTAGTGACTTGAACTGGGGCTGTTGTTCCAGCTCAGAAAAAGCCCAGGGTTCTTGAAGTGTCAGTGCTTGTGTTTGGATATTTAGGGAGTTTTATTGATGAAGAGAGGGCAGTCATCAAGATCAGCAGGATAGTCTAACTGACGTATGAGTTCAACAGTAGTTGAATATTCAGCCTATAGGCTTAGAAGCCTCCCATAAAGGACATAACTTTATCTTGTCCTTGTGATTTTGTGCTTTGATTCAACTAACTAATGATTTATTATAACCTGGAGGGTTATAAAGAATACTGTGCTGAAGCTTTTATTGTTTCATTTTGGTTCGCATTAAATTTTGGTACTATCTTTTACTGGTGTTTCTAACTTCCACTTTCTGTGTAAGTTTAGATTAATAACCCACGTGTGAGAAGTCGGGAAGGCTGCAGGTGAGCTTGAACATGTTCAGTGCTGGTTGTGCTGCTCTAGCCCATTTCCCTGGTTAAGATACTTGTCTCAGTGGGCTGTGCTACATCCCATATTATATTTTCACAAGCAGTTTGCTTGAGAAAAAAAAAGAGGGTAAACATGGAAAAGCTGTATTTTTTGCATCTCCCTGCTTTAAGACATTGCTGCTGTGATATGTGATGGATCTAGTCAACATGGCTTTGGAAGCTCCCAAAAGGGTATTTCAGGTAAGTTGTAATTGCTGCATCCAGCTTTCCCAGGATAAGACTTAACTTGACTCTTACCACCCCTAATGTATCCATCAGGAGTGCATAAACCAGACTGCTTTCCAGCCTGGATTCACTTGCTCCCTGCTGTATCATATCACATAGACACTTTATGTTTACCTGTGAGGCTGGAATGTGGTCCAGGCTGTGACTGGGGACTTGCAAACCCTGTGGTAGCCATAGTATTGCTAAATTACTGTGCTCCTGTTTCTCCCACTGTCAGATGGATATAGTTGGTTCTCTCCCAGATCGAGATATTTTGTTGAAAGCAGTCCAGAAAGTGCATGCAGAGGTGATAACAGACCCCAGATTTCCAACTCCTGGTTCTACCCTGATGGCTAAAGAGCCCAGTGAGCACCCAACACAACTGCTAGATTTCAGATCAAATTATGCCTGCAGATTATATCCCATTTTAATACCCCCTAATTCTGTAAATCTACAAAACTGGAGATGGAGATTGTAATTATTATCATTATGAACATATATATTTACTTGTTTGTAATGCAGCACCACAAGTCCCACCATGTTGGGCATGATAGATCAGCACAAGTGCCAGTCGCTCCCCAAACCTGCCAGAATCTGGAATTTCTCTTGTTTCAGGTTTTTGGGATGGGATTGAATGTTTTGCATCTTCTTGTGTCTGTGCATTCCACTGTATAAAAAAGAAGGCATTAATTTTTGAGCTGCTCTTGCTGGGTAATTTCTCTCTACTCTACAATCACAGGCTCAGAGGGACACAGGCATTCGGGCACTCAACGTGACATTGACCCCGAGGTAGAAAACAGCTCTGTCTCAAGCACTGCCCTTATCTACTCTTCTGTTAGCTGGTTATCTGGAGCCTGCACCTTGCAACCTCAGGTGTATTGTCATCAATCATTTGCTATTTTCTTTTGCGTGTTGGTTCCTCTCTGCCCTTCCTTTGTTAATAACCCAGTTTGCCTATATCCATAAAAATATCTGATTGTGATACCATTTATCCAAAGCGCCATACATCCATCATGTACTTATAAGTGAGATAAACAAGGTCTCCTGGGAAATATGCCGCAAGAAATATATAGGATAAATAACTATATCCAATGTATGTCAGTGTGCAAGAGGGGAAAATCCATTCATTAAAACCCGGGTGGAACTGCAGTGTTTTATTGTACCCTCTAAGCTTTTAGTTTAACTAAGAAACGTACATTTTTGCTGCTTATCTCATCTTGCATAAGTGAGATAAACAAGGTCTCCTGGGAAATATGCCGCAAGAAATATATAGGATAAATAACTATATCCAATGTATGTCAGTGTGCAAGAGGGGAAAATCCATTCATTAAAACCCGGGTGGAACTGCAGTGTTTTATTGTACCCTCTAAGCTTTTAGTTTAACTAAGAAACGTACATTTTTGCTGCTTATCTCATCTTGCACTCATGCTGCC